CCATTGTGTCCTGCGAAGATGGTGCTAAGTTTAGACAAATTATGACCGGTTTCGATAGAATTCTATTGGATGCTCCCTGTACTGGTACTGGTGTTGTTTCCAAAGATCCCAGTGTCAAGACAACCAAATGTCCCGTTGATGTCCAGAGATGTTACAACTTGCAACGTAAACTTTTGCTAACGGCCATCGATTGTACCGATGCCAAGTCCGCTACAGGTGGTTACATTGTCTATTCCACCTGTTCGGTGTTGCCGGAAGAAAATGAATGGGTCATTGATTATGTTCTGAAGAAACGTAATGTTAAATTGGTACCAACTGGCCTCGATTTCGGTGTTGAAGGGTTCACCAAATATCGCCAATACAGATTCCATCCATCTTTGAATTTGACCAGACGTTATTATCCCCACACCCATAACATGGATGGTTTCTTTGTGGCTAAATTGAAGAAATTCTCCAATACCATACCGGTGAGTAAGGAACAGCAAGAGGAGGATGAGAAGCAATTGGACGAGGGTATAGCCACAGCTGACGAAGAAAAGGTTGAACTTCTCAATGCCGAGGATGGTGAAGAAGGAGCCGCTGATGGTGAGGAATTGGCCAAGGGCAAAAAATTGGGTAAACGTGCCGGTAAACCTGTACTCAGCGAATTGGATTTGACCATTAAGAAACAAAAATTGGAACAAAGCAAACAGAAATATATTGCCAAGGTATTTGAACCACCGGTAAAGGTACCCAAAAAGAAAAAGGATGCCCCCGCTGAGGATAAGGCAAAAACAAACGGAGAGGTCAAGGATAAGAAGGAAAATAATAAAAACGAAAAGAAAAATGTGGAAAATAAAAAGGTCGATTCTAAGACCACAGTTGAGGAGAAAGAGACTCCCGAAGAGAAGCCTCAAAAGAATAAGAAGAAAAATAAACAACAATCCCAGGAAACTGCCGAAGTGAAAAAATCATCACAACTCGTTGAAGTAAAGAAACAACAACCTGTTGAAAAACAAAAGTCCACAGAGAAACCACAGAAACCCAAACAGAAAAATAATGAGCAGAAAGCTGAAGAAAAACCACAACAACAAAAACCCCAACAAACTAAAAAGAATAAACAGGAGAAACAACAACAGCCACAACCAACAGCTTTAGCTAAACCACCTCAAAAGGAACAAAAGAAATCGGCCGAAGCTTCTACGCCACCCCAAAAGAAAAACAAAACACCGAAAAATGATGCCGATCTGACTTCCTCACCCACCCTGCTCGAAGGTAAACCCATTAAACAAAATAAACTCAAACAGAAATCAAAACAAATGGGTAAATTAAAAAATAATAAAAAGTAAAAATATTAAAAACAATTATTAATATTACAATTTGATAAACAATTTTTAGAAGTATAACCATTTTTTTGTGTTTATTATAAATAATAAAAAATAGATTTTATTTTTTTTAAACATTATTAAGTAAAATGAAAAAACGAAGAAAGTGAAAAATAAAATAAATACCTATTTTATTATAAGTAGATTGTTAAAACAAAACAAAAAAATGTTGTTTATTTTATAGTAGACACACACCCACATAATAATTCACACTAACATAATTAAAAAAAATTAAAACCTTGTTTGGAAGTTTAAAATTGTTTGGTAATTAAAAATATTTAAACAAATTTACGACAACAAATTCACGCCTATTTAAAAAAATATTTTTAAAAAATCCACGCCTATTTAAAAAAATATTTTTAAAAAATCCACGCCTATTTAAAAAAATATTTTTAAAAAATCCACGCCTATTTAAAAAAATATTTTTAAAAAATGCACGCCTATTTAAAAAAAATATTTTTAAAAAATGCACGCCTATTTAAAAAAATATTTTTAAAAAATGCACGCCTATTTAAAAAAATATTTTTAAAAAATGCACGCCTATTTAAAAAAATATTTTTAAAAAATGCACGCCTATTTAAAAAAATATTTTTAAAAAATGCACGCCTATTTAAAAAAATATTTTTAAAAAATGCACGCCTATTTAAAAAAATATTTTTAAAAAATCCACGCCTATTTAAAAAAAATATTTTTAAAAAATCCACGCCTATTTAAAAAAATATTTTTAAAAAATGCACGCCTATTTAAAAAAATCCACGCCTATTTAAAAAAATATTTTTAAAAAATCCACGCCTATTTAAAAAAATATTTTTAAAAAATGCACGCCTATTTAAAAAAATATTTTTAAAAAATCCACGCCTATTTAAAAAAATATTTTTAAAAAATGCACGCCTATTTAAAAAAATATTTTTAAAAAATCAACGCCTATTTAAAAAATATTTTTAAAAAATCCACGCCTATTTAGTGGACATTTAAAAAATATTTTTAAAAAATCCACGCCTATTTAAAAAAATATAGAAAATCCACGCCTATTTAAAAAATATTTTTAAAAAATCCATGCCTATTTAAAAAAATATTTTTAAAAAATCCACGCCTATTTAAAAAAATATTTTTAAAAAATCCACGCCTATTTAAAAAAATATTTTTAAAAAATCCACGCCTATTTAAAAAAATATTTTTAAAAAATCCACGCCTATTTAAAAAAATATTTTTAAAAAATCCACGCCTATTTAAAAAAATATTTTTAAAAAATCCACGCCTATTTAAAAAAATATTTTTAAAAAATCCACGCCTATTTAAAAAAATATTATTAAAAAATCCACGCCTATTTAAAAAAATATTTTTGAAAAATCCACGCCTATTTAAAAAAATATTTTTAAAAAATCCACGCCTTGAAAAAATATTTAAAAAAAATATTTTTAAAAAATCCACGCCTTGAAAAAATATTTAAAAAAAAAATATTTTTAAAAAATCAAAGCCTATTTAAAAAAAATTATTTTTAAAAAATCCACGCCTTTTAATAAAATATTTGTAAAAGATCCCGCCTTTTAAAAAAATATTTTTAAAAAATCAACGCATAAAAAAATTATTTTTAAAAAATCCACGCCTATTTAAAAAAAATATTTTTAAAAAATCCACGCCTATTTAAAAAAATATTTTTAAAAAATCCACGCCTATTTAAAAAAATATTTTTAAAAAATCCACGCCTATTTAAAAAAATATTTTTAAAAAATCCACGCCTATTTAAAAAAAAATATTTTTAAAAAATCCACGCCTATTTAAAAAAAAATATTTTTAAAAAATCCACGCCTATTAAAAAAAATATTTTTAAAAAATCCACGCCTATTTAAAAAAAATCTTTTTAAAAAATCCACGCCTGTTAAAAGAAAATTGAAAAAATCCACGCCTATTTAAAAAAAATATTTTAAAGAAAAATCCACTCCTATTAAAAAAATATTTTGAAAAAAATCCACGCCTATTTAAAAAATAATTTGAAAAAATCCACGCCTATTAAAGAAATATTTTGAAAAATCCATGCCTATTAAAAAAAATATTTTTAAAAAACCCACGCCTCAGTTTAACACAGGGAAGAAAAAACAATGGCATCTTTTTGTTGTTATTTTTTGTAATTATATTCATATATAAAATAATAACATTAATGGAATGTACAATTTTGGACTTACAAACTACATCAGACGTACAAAAAGAAATAACTTAAAATATATAAGGTTTTTTTAATTGAAAAAATAAAAATAATGATTTGTTTTACAAAACATTAAATATATAAAACAAATAGAGGATTGTCTAAATAATAGAGATTCATTTCATCATATATATATATATATATAATTGGCAATAATTATAATAAACTTTTGTTTTAAATAGGATAATATATATTTTTGTTTTCATTTTTTATGCATTATAAATTTTCTTATTAATTAAGGTAACATTTGTTTGTTGTTCTTTTGCAAATTTGATTTTTTATTTATTTGTTTCTAAACAGTGCGCACTCATCATCAAGAAATGGTGTTGACTGTTGATGTTTGTATGTAAATGAGTATGTGTGGGTGTGTTTGTATATAAGTTAATGGTCTATAACAAAACAATGATTGTTGGAATTATGTCTGGCCAATCTATCTCGTCTGCTTGCCTACCGCCACATTGTTGTAACACTTTGATTTTTAATTGTTTTTATTTCTTTGCATTATTTTTCTAATTAATTCAAAGCCATTTTGCTTAGCTAACACACGCAATCTTTGCATTAACATTATTTGTGGAAAATAAAATTGAAACAAAAAGAAGTCTAAATGAAGACCTAATAGGTGATTAGATTATACCATTTAGATTTTCTGTTACAAGGGGAACCTCATCATAGAATATTCAGTAATTAATTCTCAAAATGTTTATCAAGGAAAATTAAATTCGAAAATAATGATATATCATTTATACCATGTGCTCTTCATTATTCCCTTCTTTTGATTTCTAAATTATTCTCAAAAATTCTTCCTAGATGAGACATCAAAATCGGATTTCTTCCCTTTCTTCAAATGATTTCTCATTTTATAATCAAAAAATAAACACTCATATATATTTTATTTCATTTCATGTTTGTGTGTGAATGTATGTGAAATTATTTTAATTTATAAAATAATATTTAAAACAAAGAAAATAGTTATATACAAATTTTCAATTGTGATTATACAAATGCTTTGCTCTTGCTGTATGTTGTTATTGTTGGTGTTTTTTTCTTTTCTGTATATAAAATTAAAACTTAAGATAATTATTTTTAGAATAGTTTTTTTGTTTGTGCGAATTAATAATAATAATAAGTATTGAGAATATATTTTTAAGTATAGAATAGGAAGGGAACAAAAAGAGTTCTTATTATAATATAGGACTGTTGGTGTATATAAAAAAAAATATTTACTTTTTCAAATAATAAGGAAATTTATAATTTCATGTTTATACCCAGTATCATAAAGGATTTGTTTTTTTGTTTCTAACATTATAATAGTTATTTTGCATTGTTGTTGTTGTTTTTTGTTTGTGTTAGTAATACAAATGTATTTGCTTTTGTTTTGTGTTAGTTGTTAGTTCTTATTGTTTGCTTGTTTGTTAATTAATTAAATTTATATTATAATTACTAATTAATCTTGACCTTTAAGGAAATTCTTTAAACGCTCTGGCAATGGTAATTTGTCAATATTTTGTGGTTTCATATTTAAGAGTATAGCATCACGGCAAGCATTTTGTAGCGAAACAACTGAAAAAATGGAATTAATTTTTTTTGAACAAAATAATTAATATTTATTGTACTCACTGCCATATAATTGTATGATGCGTATTTGTTTTGTTGTGCCATACACATCAATGACCACATGCAGGGGTGGTGCCTCATCCAGTGGTATATCTCGGGTACACGGTCCCTGATCCACACCATTGATAATGAAATGCATTTCACCCTTTGTCTTATCATTTTCGGTGGGTATAAATACAACACCAATACGGGATCCTTTGTCTGTCAGCAATATGCCATCGGCGGCAGTTGGTCTCAGCAAACGTTTGGGTATCATACCACGGGGTGTACGCACATACATTGAGTCGCCTAAAATACTACCTGGAAAATACAAAAAAATATAGATAAAAAAATAAAAATTCTAAATTGGATAAAAAAGTAAAGAAAGTAGAAAAGTCGGACGGGATTGACTATATAATACCCTTTACCACTTTGCCTATATTCAAGAGATGTATCCTAACAGACATAACATTTTTTAATGACCATTGACATGAAATTGGGCTGTTGATCTGTTAACAGATCTGTGATCTGTGTTGTGAACCCAACATAACCCTGCGGTCAATAAACAGGTACATTTGTATCTTTTTATACCCTCCTTAGAATGGAGGGTATATTAAGTTTGTTTTTCCTCTTATAACTTGTCGAAATAATCTTTTCCGACCCCATAAAGTATATATATTCTTGATCGGCGTAAACTTCCATGACGATTTATGCATGTTCGTCCGTCAGTTGTAATTACTCTAGCCTCTAAACGAATTTAGATAGACCGCCAAAATTTTGCATAGAGTTGTCTTTTCTCTGCACATAAGTCAGATTCGAAGAAGAGCTATATCGGTCCATGTTTAGGTTTTTCCCCCATATAAAGGTACCCATCAATTTTTGAAATTTTGGGGTTCTTGAGCGTGCTATTCAAGCGAATTCGCCGAAATTTGGTACAAAGGGTGAAAGTATATATGAGAGCTATATCTAAATCTGAACAGATTTCAATAAAACTTGGAACACATTAGGCTATCTATATATAAATCTGAACCGATTTCTATAAAAATAGGCACACGTTAGGCTATCCTAAATTCAGTAAGTTGTGCGAAATTTCGTGCCAATCGACCTTAATTTGACGCTTTGGCGCACCATTTGCTAAAAATCTGACGAAAATATATATGGGAGCTATATCTAAATCTGAACCAATTTCAATAAAACTTGATACACGTTAGGCAAAATTACGTGCCAATCGGCCTAAATTTTAAAATTCGGATGAAAATATATTTGGGAGCTACATTTAAATCTGAACCGATTTTCACGAATTTCAATTTTTAATTTCATTCGGATAATAAATGCGACCTGCACTTTGTTTACAATTTAACAGACGTTGTACGTTGTGCAAAATTACGTGCCAATCGGCCTAAATTTTAAAATTCGGATGAAAATATATTTGGGAGCTACATTTAAATCTGAACCGATTTTCACGAATTTCAATTTTTAATTTCATTCGGATAATAAATGCGAAATGTTTACAATTTAACAGACGGACAGACGGGCATGCATAAATCGACTTAGAAAGTGATTCTATGTATATTCTTAAAAGGAACCATGGGTATATAAATTTAATTTAAATTTAAAGTATTTATAATAAGGAATAAAAAGAATTTATAATAAGAAATAAAAATGATTGATTCAAAATTCGAAAATTTATCGAATATTAGATTTGAAACTCGAAAATTTATATGGGCGTTTGATCCAAAATTCGGAAAATTTACCTTTTTCCTAAACTGTTCTACACTTGAGGACGGCCTCATATATCAACGATTTCGCATAATGTATTCATAATAATTGGCCAAAAAAGGCTTTGTGTACATGTAAGAGTTTAAATAAATAAAATAAATAAATTTGATGGCTTTAAGAGCCGCTTGACTATCCACGAAGATAGTCACCGGTTCAACGACCTCTGCATCCACACTTTTTATCAATACCGTTGCCTTCCAAATCGCGAAGATTTGAGCTTGGAAACCCATACAGTTGCAATCCAACTTGTAGGTAAACTCAAGGCCTAGGCTTTCACAGTAGACGCCAGACCCTTGGTACAGTTATATTTTCTTTCAGATTATGTGCAGATTACTCGAAAAAAACTGATATCAGAAAACTTCGGAAAAAATGTTTGCTGGGTAGCCTTAAGCCTAAAGGTCATGGTACAATTATAAAAGGTAACAGCAAATCCCAGCTGATTTGATTCCAACGTAATACTAGTGTCAATATGCATTTGACAAATTATGTTTTTAAAAATCACCCAACAGGAAAATTGGGAACGCATACAATTTGAAATTGTTCTTTTTTAATGTGCTCCCGTATTCAATTTACTCAATCTGCCTGCTGGGAAAGCTTGAGGAAGCAAATCTTTGTTGAAGGAATTACTCGCTATTCCCAGCATTGTCATATGTGTTACACATATATATATGGCAATGGCTCAATTAAAGGATAGATGTGGAAGCGATAGAAATATAAATTTGATAGATTTTCATTCATGTTTTTTTTTATTTTGAGGATTCGAAAATATTCCATTTTCAAAATAAAAATAATTTCATGATAATTTGTTTGTTTGTTTACATTTTTCTGTCAAATGAGTTGACACTAGTAGAACTTACAACAACAAATTTCCATGTGGTTGTTGTATCGTTTTTTGTACAACAACACTTGCTGTTACCTTTTATTATTATACCATGCCTGAGGGTATTTAAAATAATAATAACAATTGGTCTGTTCCCGTACTGCAAGAATCTACTACTTTTACATAAGTCTGAGGGTACAAAAAAAAAATAAATATTTTAAATTCCAAAATCTGATAAAAAGTTAAAATTATTTCCGATTGTATGAAGAAACTAATCTCTTATTCATATTGACTGACTAATTAAAAATTACTGATGTTAATGCGTTGATTTCCCTCCTTTTTGTGACTGTAATTTATGGAAGTAAAAAACTCACCTGGTTTAGGTGATTGAACCCTCAATATAATTTCAATGCAAATTACATACAAATGCTTACATATATATATATATATATATATGTGCCTGTGTTAGAGAGTGCCAAAAAAAACTCCAAACTTACTTTTTGTTGATCCAGCTGAACTTGTTGAGGGTTGTCCATTGTTTGTCGTAGCTAATGCCGAATTATCACTACCACTTCCGCCACCTCCACCATCACCGGCATTTGAACGTGGTGTCAGTGTATGAGATTCAAATTTTGATATAGGAAATATCCAACAGGTACCTAAATTTGCCAAATCTGGTAATGCAAATTGTGGCAAACCCGAATCCATTGAACCCAAAACATCGGGCAGCAATTGTGTTAGACCCAAACGCATATGGCCCGACCAGCCACGTTCATTTTTCTCAATCTCTACCAGAAAAATTTCACCCATTTGTAAGGGTTTTTCGGAAAATGTAACCGCATCGGCAAAGCTGGTCTTACGAAAAGCGACTGTATTATCTTCACATAGAATTATGTTGTTGCCATGGTAAGGATGAAATCTGGACAGTTGTCTAAAAATAATGAAAAAAAGTGGGAAACTTATTAAAAAAAACACTTACAAACAATAACTATTTAAGGTCTCTTATAAAAAAGCCGTGGAGGCATTTCTTGCAAAATTTGATTCCCTTGCAATAGCTAAAACTCAATTCCATTGCATTTGTAATTTGCTAATCATGGATCACCATTGCATGTTCCAATTAGAAATATGTACCAGTGGCCAGCCAAGGTATTATTCTAGTTTACCACCCGAGTTTATGACTTGCTTCATAATTGGAGCACACACACAAACATTGCATATTTTTGGTCACTTTTATTTCTCCAATTCATTATTTCTTCAAAATTCTTCGATACAATATCTTTAAATTCCATTCAATAGAAAACACTGAAATTATGTATAGGAATATCAAATAAAAATTAGGTTGATAATTGCCTTTTTGATGTAGCTGGCGTATAATTAGCTGGAGTTACAGGTGCACTATTATTTGTCTCGGGTACGCTCATTTTTATTCGTTTGTTTTTCTTTTTTGTGTGTGTTTGACTTTGTTTATATATACGTGAGAGTGTGTGTGTTATTGTTTTACTTTTTAATTTTTTGTTTAACAACAAATTCACTTAATTTATTACAGAAAAAAATCTAATAAAAAAACAACGTATCAATTGTTTAGAGTTGTATCGTTCCGGAACGAACGGGTTCAATTGTATGGTTTTGTGAAATGAACCAACGGAACTGTTTTCATATGATTAATGATACGAACAGGGGAGAAAGGTGAAAATTGTTGATAACAATGGAAAAACGGTTAAATTCGTTCGCACCGACTATTGAACACCCTCCACCGTTTGGAGTGTTTTGAATATTCCTCTAATGTAGGTATGGGTGCAATTCTTTGCAAATTCTCAGCTAGAAAGTTATTTTCGCTGTGAGGAAATTACAGAACCTAGGTTGAAAAACTGGGATAGAAACCTCAACATAATGGAATTTAAATGGGACTTTTGTATATGGGTATAATGAAATAAATTGATGTGTTTCGAAAATTGTTCTTCAGCGGACTGTTGCCGCGAAATTAAATTTAGAGGAAAAAAGCAGAGTGTGGCTGATTAATAACAAACAGAAGTAAAAAAAAACAAAAAACTGTGTTAAAGGGACCTTTGGGGACGGTATGGTTTTCTCTACAGACGGATCCAAGATGGAAGAAGGTACAGGGGCTGGCGTTTACTGTGAAAGGCTAGGCCTTGAGCTTACCTACAAACTGTAGTGTTTTCCAAGCTGAGATCTTCGCGATTTGGAATGCAGGGGAATTGATAAAAATTGTGGATGCAGAAATCGTTGAACCGATATTATTGGTAATGAGAGAGCAGACGAATTAGCTAGACGAAGATCTCAATATACAAATCTAGCAATTGATGGCTCAATCAAACCATCCATATGTCATCTTTATCGGAACTTTGAGGCGTTCTTTGGCGAAAGAGCCTATGAACTTTTGGCCCAACGAACCTAGGTGCAATGTGTCAAGATCTATTTGGCCGATTCTGTCTACCAAAAGGACACAATCACTGTTCAACCTGAGCAAAGCTGAAATAAGAGTAATGACAGGAATCATTACTGGTCATTGCAATATCAGGGCCTTTACCAGTAAAAGGGACCATGATGTTACTGATTACTGTAGACTCTGCGTTGAAGAGGAGGAGAGGGAGACAATTGAACGCCTCCTATGTCGCTGCCCAGTCCTGGCCTACAGACGGCACAGACTAGTGTGTGCTCACTTTCCACCCAGTCTTAGTTTCTTCTCAACAACGGAACCTGCTCTAATCTACAGCATCATTAGAAACCCAAAGTGGTTGGGAAAGTCCAACCTAGGCACGTAGTATATTTTCTGTCCTTGTAAGCTTCTCATCTCTCTCTACCCCTCTTTTTTTCACTCCATATCTTTTTCTTTTCGTGGATGATCACATTGCAACCCGCAAAATATGTTTGATATAAGTGCGAAAATAGGGTTATTTTGTTATATATTGCTGTTTCATTAAGCCCTTCTATTGACTCACCGAATCTATTGTAGAAATCCCAAAATGTGTGTTTCATACGAAACTGATAGTGTGTACCAACCTTAAAACCCAACAGTTTTGTGCCAAAATCATTATTTTGCCATTTCTTCTATGTTTCCCATACTTCATCTTGCTATCCCTGTGTCGGTGTTTTTGTTTTTATTCTAATCTTTATCAATCATTTTGCTTTGTGCTAGGCTTTCAAACTACTACGCCGTCCCTTTTCCATGTCAGCTTTGTAATTTCAAAAAATAACTTTCGTAACAACCGCAAATTTTTTGGGGCCGCTGGCTGGATATTTTTCGTATTCTTTGGATTTTTATCAAATAAAATTTGGATCCAGGTGAGTCTAATTAATACAACTTCGTTGTATGTTTCAAATTTTACAATTCTAACAACTGAATTCCAACCTTTCGAACAGCATGCGTATACCAACTGCTGCCCTCTTTGCCAAACGTCAAGCACGCACTCCACAAAACGAGGCTGATGTTCCATTCCAAGAGATTTTACCATTGCGTCTGAAGAACACTGTCAGTGGTAAAGCAGATTCGGGTTCAGATGTAGCCTGTCTGCAGGAGATGTCAGTGCTGTTTGCCTGCCTCAAGGAGAATGATTTCGTGGAGAAAATGTGTCACAAGGAAATCACACAATTTAAACGGTGCTACAAAGTCTATATGGATCGGAAAGCAACCGCCAAGGAAACCATTAATAAGGGTATTGTTACACCCGGCAAAGAGCTAAATTATAAACAACTGAATAAGTATATGAGACGGTTCCCAAATCCTGAATAATAACATCGATATGACCATTTGCATTTAGTGGTTATACAAAGAGGATTGATGATTTAGGTGTAAATTGAAAATGATTGTTACCTTGAATAATTTCTAAGAAATAAAATATTTTGATTTTTATCGTTAACTACGAGTGTGTGTGCAATGCAGAAAAATGGAGGATCAGCAAAGCGATAATGAATTACTACTCAATTTTTGTTCTCAATAAAATACAGATATATTGTTGGCACATAAACTAATTATGCCGGCTAATTTCACGTTGCTATAAGGGAAATCCCTTATACAGACGAATTCGGATAAGCGAACACCGGTTTATCGAAAAAATCGTTTAATTGAAACCAAAAATTATAAACTAATATTCGGATGAATTTTCAAACATTTTACTTCGCTTAAATGAAAACCCGCTTAAATGAAAACCCGCTTAATTGAAAATCCCTATAAGAGAAAGACTTTTTTCATTGGGTGACACCTCTTCCCACCAAGAATTATCAATATTCATCGACTTTTTAATATAGACCCATACCTTCCAAATTTCGGTATTCGGTATATAATTTTACATTTTGAATTCAAATAGGGTATCAAATCTTCCTAGAAAAAATTATCAATATTGGCTTCCTTTTCACGATAGCCCCAATACAACGATACCGGGTTTTATTCCGTATTTCACGGATTATGGACACGTTTATTGTAGCGAATTTGCCGTAATTTCGTTCTAATCATGTGTCAAATCTTCCTATCAAAAATTAACCATGGTACAGCCCACGATATATAAAAATATCGAAAGATTACCGGTACATTAAATGTCCAGCTCAAGGTGGAGAGTATAAAAAGTTCCGCCAGGCCGAATTTAACGACGTTTTTACTTGTTTAAAAATCTTCGGTTATAGTTTAAATGATCCTTATAAAAATATTCTTTAAAAATCCATGGTTAAACCTTTAATTTGTTAAAAATTTATGGTTATAGGTTTGATGGTTTTTGATAATATATTCTTTACAAATTCAGGTTTAGCCTCGAATCACCTCTAGAACATTATTATTAAAAATCTACGTTTAAGTGTATAAAACCACCTGTGAGCACTAGTTCTATAGTTGGTCTGTTCCCGCACTGCAAGAATCTACTACTTTTTACTACGATAACGAATTTTCCTTTATGTTATCGAAGAAAATAGTAAAATCTAGTAGATTCTTGCAGTACGGGAACAGACCAAGTGGCTCACAAGATTCAATATTTCAAACATAATACATATTTGAATATGGGGGACAAAGTATTGAGCTTGTTCTACTTGATATATGTTACCGTGAATTAAAACATAAAACCTATTTTAATCAGTTGATTGGAGAAAACTCAAATCCTTGCAGTGGGATTACCTCATTTTAAAGTAAGGTGCTCCTATAGGAAAAGATTTCCCGATCTAAAGAACAGTTAGAAATGTCTTTAAAAATATAAAAGAGGTGATTCAGATTACTGGCAGGCCAATATTTACAGCAAAAACTACAATATTATTTTTTCAAACACAAATTTTAAATTCGATGAAGGTTAGGTTAGGGGATGTGCAGCACTCTGAGACCGTCCGCCCGTACATTGTGATCATCCATGATAGATATGGAGAGATCTGTATGGGAGAAAGTTAAGATAAGAAGCTAAAAAAGTATTAGGAGGTAGGTGGGAAATAGTTTCGATGGCTATAGAAATTAGACAGAAAACATATTGCATTTTTAAGTGAGTAGTTTACGGACTTAGATATAAGAAGGCAGCCAACGTAAAGTTCTAGTTTTATTTTTCTCAATATACCACCTCATGCAAATCAGATTCCACAGACTTGCCTTTTATATATGCGTGCTGTGAATTGCTAAGAGAGGTGTTGTCTACATAAGTCCTAAGCACCAGGTCGATCAGTCGTTCGAGAGTCTTGAGGAGAAAGGATGATAGGCTAATGGGTCTATTGTCCTTTTGATTGTCCTATTGACCTTTACCTCGTTCCATAGATCTGGAACGCACGATATCATATCATAAAGGAACATTTTTTATCGTAGTAAGATGTTGTACATAGTTGCAGGTTCTGGAACAGATCATTAGATTGTATTCAAATCAGATTCTGAAGGTTTAAAAATTCGTTACTAAAAATGCCAATATAGGCAGGTTAATTTCTTCGCATATTCACAACTTTTTTCGGAGATTTGTATATTCTTCTTTATTCTTTATAAAATTATTATAATATAATTTTTATTTAATTTCATTAATTCTAAGCTAAACTACAATATATTTTAATTAATTATTTTTTAAATATTACCGCCATTTAATAAACAACATCAGCATCACCCAAACCACCACCGCCGCCCGATGAGGTACTACAACCGGGCGATGATTGACTTAAAACATTCAAATAACTATTGGTATGGCGTGCACCCGATCGCTGTTTCAATTCAAATAATTCCGCTAATAAAGTCTGTTTCTCTCGTTCTAGCATAACAATACGTTCACTTTTCAAGTGGCCCTCATTGGCCAGCAGGCGATTCTGTTGACGTAAACGATCTGCTATGGTATTGCTTAAGGATGTTGACGTTCGATTGGAGGGTATTTTTGGTGGTGTCCGAAAGGCCAGATTAAAATGAAATGGAAAGCCACCACCACGGTCCCAGGTGTCGGCTAATACGGATAGACTGCGATTAACTTCAAGGACACGTGCCCTCTGGAAATTAAGTCGTTCCTGTTGCACCTCCGACCATTGTTCCTGAAAATGAGGGGGAAATATTAAAATGTGTTCTTGTAGTGAAAACAAGTCTGTGGTAGTGAAGATAATTCTGATGTAGATTTTGTTAGATGTTTTATTGAAAGTTTGCAATTTCTTAGTGGAAAATTTTCTAAAGGGGGAAATACATAAGATGACTTCAGTATTGGCAAGATAAACTGGCTTCTTTTATTGTAAAAGAATAAAGGAGAAAGGGGTCCAAAATCAAGTTTGACTACGATGTTCTTTTATACATTGCCATTTCATGCAAAGCCAATGTAATTAACATGCAAGGTCTGAAATCATATAATTTGGCTTCTAAGTGAGTACTAAGTTAAGCCTAGACATTGCAATGGTATGTTATTACTAATGCTTCCTTGAGGAAGGCTGCAAAGAAAGCACATAATAGAGCTAGTAAGACAAAACTCAGTACAGATTGGGACGTTTATAGATAACAGTTCAATAGGTACAAGAGTGAAATTAAGAAGGCTAAACGTTAGTCTTGGGTCTGCTATAGTGAGTCAATCGAAAGAGTTATGAATTTGATAGCTCAAATTTTCAGAGTATAAAAATTCTCAATACTGGACTTCTTTTTATAAATTGTAGGTATTTTAAAGCAACTTTTAAAATCGAACTTACATTTGTCGAACCCATTCTACCCAAATATTTAATTTTCTCCTGGACATTGACCAACTGCTGTAAATACCATTCACGGGCCTTGTCCACGGCATCTAAACCCAACAACAGCACCTCTCGTTCCTCTTCAAATTGTTTCAGACGTTTGAGCATATTATAATCGATACCATTCTGTAAGGTATGTCTTCTGGGTTCCCGTCGCTTAACCGAGGCCTTTTTCAATGGAGCATTTGAAAAATTCCCACTATCTGTGGCCGATGATGAACCACCATCGGCACTGCCACGATAACCACATTGTTGCAAGAAATTCGTGGATTTTTGTTTATCTTTCGAATCGATTTCATTGCGCAGCACACCCATTTGCCAATTTTGCAAGGCGTTGCGGATCTCAGCTTTATCCATGATGACATTGTTAACTGAAGTGCTGTTATTTGTGATGGGATTTCCTCCTGCATTGGCATTTAGTACCGATGCCCTTGGTGGTTTTGGCGGCGGCGGTGGGCTGTTGTATACCGAACGAATAATATTATTTGTGGTTTGCAGATCAACCTCAGAATCTGGACTTAGCTGGGGTAGACTTAAAGTTCTATTTCCTGACCATGGATTCCGCGGCAATGGATTTTCAATATCCAATGTGGGTGCTGAGGGTGGTCGTTGTCCTTTACTGGGTGATTTGGTTTTCCACGAAGAAATATTATTCGTTACCAGATTACTTTTTATTTGTTGTTGTGGTGATTCTAGGTTATGTTGTGGTTGCTGCTGACCATTTTGATTCCTTAGCAGACACAATTTCAAGCCAGCACAAAACCGTTCAAATGTCAATAGACCACTGGGTGGTGTCACTTTTCTTAACGACTCGATGACACCGCGGGGTAAACCTTTACTGCCATCATCCTGCCATCCTTTTTCGATATCGACAAATTTCACAAAACCACTTCGTTGATCATCCAAAATATCGAATAAGGTTTTCATCGATTGTACAAAAGGTTTTGGTAATGCATCAAAGGCTGACGTAGCGGGGCCGCTGGTATGGGAACCAATGCCTTGTGGTGGATTATTTAAATTGTTCATGGCGTTATTTTGTATATTTATCATTTGATTTGTGCTTAGTACTCCAACAGGTACATCGGTATCGGCAAGACGATGCATTCTTTAGTATGGTTTGACTAAAGAATGGTGTTCGCTGGAAAAGAGGAAATAAAAATTGATGAGAAAAAATTGTATTCGGTTTAAATTTATTTGGCTTCATTAGATATTCAGAATGGCATGCTGAAATTGGTGTGTTAGAGATCCTTTGTACATTAATGTATAGTCCGACAATTTGACTTCTAAGTGAGTACTAAGTAAAGCCTAGGCATTGCAATGGTATGGTATTACTAACGCATCTTTGAGGAAGGCTGCAAGGAAAGCATATAATAGAGCTAGTAAGACAAAACTCAGAACTGATTAAGACGTTTATAGAAAATAGTTCAATAGGTACAAGAGTGAAATCAAGAAGGCTAAAAGTGAGTCTTTGGTCTGCTATAGTTAGTCAATCGAAGGAGTTAACGAAGATTTCGCAGAGTACTATCTGAAGATCCAAAGTCTATATAGTCATAAGCGAAGTGACGGGACGTGGACAAAATCTGGTAGTGAGACTCTTGATCTTCTATCTTCAACCCAATTCCCTGGTTGTAGGACCATAATGACGATGTGCAGTACACGGCCAGATTTTGCTATAGTGAGCCAAAGTCTATAGGTAGTTAAGCGAAGTGACGGCGTGGACAGATTTCGCAGAGTACAATCTTCTAATCAACCCACTTTCCTGGCTTTAAGGACCATGTCCATGAAGATGTGCAGTGTACGCATCGGCTTATAGTTCGAACCAGGTAGGAGGAGAAACTCATAGAAAACACTATAAAATACCCAATGGGCGATAAATAATTTTAAACCCTACAAATCTCCACGCCCAGTATTAGCCACTCTGCAAGACATTTTTAGGGCTTGTCTACTGTTATCGTGCATACCTAGGAAAGATGTAACAACGACCTTTATCCCGAAAACCGGGAAGTCGAGTCATACGCTACCAAAGGACTATAGACCGATTAGCCTCTTCCTTTCCCCTCAAGACTTTAGAAAGGTTACTAGACTCAGAAATTAGGAATACTATTAATCAATGGTGTACAGAATAAATTGAGAGGGATTATGTGAGCGTAACTAAAAATCCATCACAAAAACGACTGACGAAAATATCAAAAAGAGAACAAGTGTTAACCACATACTTTAAATTACGTTTTTCGGCTGTTTTGGACATTTATGCTATTGATCCAAATAAAATTAGCAACTTTCAGCATGCCTACATCAAAGGCAAGTCAGTGGACAGCCTTTTACATGAGATGGTTGGGCGTATCGAGAAGTATATGGAGTCCTCCGGCTACACTTTGGCTGCGTTCCTCGTTAGTGAAGGGGCCTTCAACAATGTGATGCTAGAGGCTATCCACTCTGCTCTCGTAAACTCTGGATTGATAGAATGCTGGAAAGCAGAATTATCAACGCATACGTAGGAGAGAGTTCCGTGAGGAAATCTGTCAACAGAGGCACACCACAGGGAGGAGTATTATCTCCTCTTCTGTGGCTTCTGGTGATAAATGAGATGCTGCTGAAATTCGATCATCTTATTATATATGGTGTAGCCAATATCGATTATGTAGTCTTGCTACTCGGTGTGAAGTTTCTGACGACCATTTCAGATATTATGGAGAGCGCCCTTTCAACTCTGTCCAACTGGTCACACGTCAATGGTCTTGGTGTAAACCCCACTAACACACATTTAATTGGTGCTCTTCACTATGAAACGTAAGATTCCAAATTTCCGCTTGCCATCTTTGGGTGAAGTGACTCTTTCTGAAGAAGCAAAATATATTGGTACAATAGCTTGACCACAAATTAACGTGGAATAGGAATGTTGAGGAATGCTCTAAGAAAAGACTAATAGCACTCTATTCCTGCAAAAACTCCATAGGTCAGGAGTGAGGATTAAGACCAGAGATCAGAGCGATCGGCTTCGATCCTTACTACCGGAGCGCTAAGAAGCATGCCACAAGCAGCCTTGAATGCGATCTTGGACCTCCAACCACTGAACACTCTGATTAAATTACAGGATGCCTGAATGTCGCGGAACTTGGGTCACACCAGGTCTGTCATTATTCACACACGGGTCAATGATGGAGAAAGGCACTGGTGCAGGCGTTTAATGTAGGGAATTAGAAATCTACAACTCATATAAACTTAACATTTTTATAGGCTTAGCTGCCGCAAAAACTTTTTCAAGGCGAACAAACAACTTCGAGGTTTTTCTTCATTCACGACCATTCAATCCAATATCTGATCTCATAATATTCTGATAATATTGGATACTTAAAAGAATTCAAATCCATTTATCAGTTCCATTTATAGTATGAATCAGTCAATCCCAGACAAACTTTCTTAAATCGCATATCACAATCTTATACACGAATTATAAAATATACCTGTGTGTATGTCGATGCGTGTTTACATATGTGTATAGTTATTAATGACAATTTTATGTTAATATAAGCAGCTAATTATAAGTTTATAACCATCTTATCTATGAAATAAAAAATAAAAATTGAAACTATTGTCTTTTGGCGTGGGATTTTGACACACATTCGATGTACCTTCCTGGTATGGTGAAGAAAGATCAAACATCCACTAGACACCATGGTATTATGTGAATGATTCACATAATCATACGAATATTTTGCAAAATTATTTTGAATATCTCAATATTTATTTTACTTTTGAAGTAATCAAATCGAATTAAATTGTGAAAAAGAAGATCACATGAACTCTATGACATTTAAACGCAAATGTGAGATAATAATTTGGTATAAGAAGACATTAGTACAAAATATCAAATTTTCAGACGTGATCGAGAATGTAGTTTAAAAAGCAGAGGTGGCGGAGTTTTAATAGCCGTATCATCTAAATTTCTTAGTGATAACATTTTATGTCCTACACCGTTAGACATTGAGATCGTCGTAATGTTTCTTCTAAATAAATTGTCTTTATTCATAACCTGTTCATATGTGACCCCTTCTTCAGATACTGAAATATATATGAAACACGAATTTATTACTTATGCTTTTCAGGAAGCAAACTCAAATGATATTTTAATAGCACTTGGAGATTTTAACTTTTCAAATGTAAAATGGATTGAAAATACCGAAAATCATGATTTTGTAACAAAAACTACGTGCGATAACAGTAACAAATTTATTACCCCTCTAATAATTTACCCAGTAAATCAGAAATCTATTTTTTTAAAGCTCATTAAGTTCAACTTAATTTATTACAGTACATATCGGATATAAGAAACTCAACAAAATCGGAGATTTCTTTCTTATATGCGTTTTTTTCTTATATGGAATTATCGAATATAAGAAAGTATAAGCTCGGGGTTTCTGATAATCTTTCTTATATGCGATTTTTCTTATATGAGATGTGCTTATATCCGATATCTATCTGTTGACTGGTCTAAGCTTCAATCATGTAATACTCTAAATGAAATGGTGCATATCATATCTAAAACTGTTCCGAAAAGAAATGTCAACAAAAACACTAGACCACCATGGAATACTCCAACTTTAACAAAATTGATAAACCATAAAAACAAACTATATAACAATTTAAAAAAGTATATCATCTATAGACTTTGCTAGTCACTGTATTGCAAGGTCATAACAAACAATATTAAATAAAAAGTTGTATAAAAACTATATGCTGAAGACAAAGAAGGAATTATTGAGTAATTCTAAAAGTTTTCATAAAAATTTCACGCCCTATAAGTCTTTGGAAAAATGAGTCTTTAAAAAATATGAGTGCTTGAAAAATTATTCTTTAAAAAATCCACCTTTATGGGTGCTGGAAAAAATTATTCTTTAACCAGTGAGCGGAGCAGTATAGTCGGACGGGGCCGACCATACCCTACACAACTACCACGGAACTCTAACTTTCTGCCGACATTTTTTCTGAGCGTGGGCAATATTTCGTGATAGTTGCACCCTCTTGCCCGACTAAAGATCGACAGCACGTCTTCCTTACACTGACATATTTTCCGAATATTCCAAATATTGAGTACAGCCCTTCTAATTACTTGTCCAGATACCCTTCACCGTGAATTGTGTTGTGATGTTCGGATTATAATTGTGGCCTATAGATCGCCTCGAAAAAACATAAAAAATTAAGTTTTCGGTCCACTTTATCCCAAAATTTTTAACTGATCATCACCAAAAATTATAGCCGATATCCCTGACCAGGGACGTACGCAGAGGGGAGGCCCGGGGTCCCGAGTACATACAAATTATAATGGACAGACGGAGGAAGGAAGGACATACATGTCTAGATCGACTCAGCTAGTCGAGATATGACGATTGGTATACTTAAAGTTGGGTCTAGGACCAATATTTCGCGGCGTTACAAACTTTTGGGGCTACACAAAGCTATAATACCCTGACAACATAGTTGTGTAGGGTATAAAAAATCCACGCCATATGGGTCCTGGAAAATTCTTTAAAAAATTCACGACTTATGGGTCTTTGAAAAATTATTCTTTAAAAAATCCACGCCTTATGAGTGCTGGAGAAAATTGTTCTTCAAAAAAGTCTCTGGAAAAAATATTCTTTAAAAAATCCACGCCTTATGGGTGCTGGAAAAAATTATTCTTCAAAAAAGTCTCTGGAAAAATTATTCTTTAAAAAATCCAGGCCTTATGGGTCTTTGAGAAAAATATTTTTAAAAAAATCCACGTCTTATGGGTCTATGAAAAAAATAGTTTTTAAAAAATCCATGCCTTGGTTCGACCAGAAAAAAAAACTTTCATTAAAAAATCCACGTCTTATGGGTCTTTGAAAAAATTAGTTTTTAAAAAATCCACGTCTTATGGGTCTTTGAAAAAAATAGTTTTTAAAAAATCCACTTCTTATGGGTCTTTGAAAAAATTAGTTTTTAAAAAATCCACGCCTTATGGGTCTTTGAGAAAAATATTTTTTTAAAAAATCAACGCCTTATGGGCCTATGAAAAATTATTCTTTAAAAAATCCACGCCTTATGGGTCTTTGAAAAATTATTCTTTAAAAAATCCACGCCTT